ATTTTTTTTCCTAGTTTGCCCAGAGGTTTCTTTCTTTGTTTCCTTCCTTTTAAAATAGAAATGTATGTTGAATTTTTCTGCATATATTGATAAGATTGTGTGGCTTTTTTTTTTGTTTTGTCTGTTAAATGGTGGATTACAGTGACTATTTTTCAAATGGCAAATCACCCTCCATTTCTAGAAAAACCTGCTTTTGAGTTGTGATGTATTATTATTTGTATACACAAGAAATTTGATTATTTAATATTTTGTCCAGTATTTTTACATCTATGTTCATAACAAATATTGTTTTGTAGTTTCCCCTTTTTCTGTATTGTCTTTGATTGGGGGTGTCATGGCTGTGCTGGCTTCACAAAAGAAGTTGAAAATATTCTCCTTTTTATTCTGGAAAATGTATGGGACTAGTGTTAATATTTTCTTACATATTTGTGAAAATTCACTCGCAAAGCCATCTAATTCTAGAATTTGTTTATTTTGGAAAGCTTTTAGCTGTAAGCTTTACTTATTTAATAGATGTAGAACTATTCAGTGAGTTATTTCTCTTTTGAGTGAATTTTGGTAGGGTCTTTCATTTCATCCAGGTTGTCAAATTTATCTACTTAGAGTTTTTTTTTCTTTAGGGTTCCCTCACAATCCATTTATTGTCTGAGTTTTGCTCTGATTTCCCCTTTTATACCTCATGTTGGCAATTTGTGTCTTCTTTCTCTTTCCTGATCAATCTGGTAGAGTTTTATATGTGTTTATTATTTTTTTAAGAAACCATTTTTGGTTTCATTGATTTTTTCTCTTTTACTTTTCTATTATTAATTGACTTTTTGCTATTTCCTTCTTTCTGCTTTCTTTAGGTTTATTTTGCTTATCTTTATCTAGTTTCTTAAGTTAGAAAACAAAAGCATTGATTTGAGACCTTTCTTTATTTCTCACATATGCATTTAAAATCATAATTTTCAGGCTGGGGATTTAGCTCAATGATGCCACCGCCTGCCTCGCAAATGCAAGGTCCTGAGTTTGATCACCGGTACAAAAAAAAAAATCCTCAAATTCTGATAATTAAAAACTTATTCAGCATATTGGTTGTGGATTTGGCTTGCAGATTTCCTTCTTGGATCCTGCTGTTCTTCTGCTCAGTCTGGAGCAATTGTCCCTTAAATTCGAAAAGTAGCTCTCAGGCCTTCCCCCAGCATCATCTCTTGCTTTTCAGCATCAGTCTTCAGTTCCCTCCTGCTCACTTGGGTCTGATGGAATATCACCTCCAGAGGCTCCTTCAAGAAGGGGAAGTGGCAGATAGCCTCCTGTCACAGCTGTGCATCCCCTCCCACAGTTAGCAGGAATGGCTGGTGTGACCAGTAGAACAGGATGGAAATGATGGTGTGTTTGTTGCTTCAGAGATTAAAGACTGGCTTTTATCAGAGGTTGACACTGGCTTGCTCTCCTGTATTTTGACAGGTACATAAAAAAGAAAGCAAAAACAAACAAACAAACAAACAAAAAAACCACTGTTTTTTAAAAGAGTTACCTCTTACCTCATTAACTCCACGGAAAACGAAAGACTGTACAAGGAGAGGCCAGCAGAGAATAGTGCATGGCTCAGCTTTAAATTATATTTATGTAGTTATAATGCAATCACTGCCCACTGCTTTGACCGAAAGGATGATATCTACAGGGGTTTATAGAAACTTGAGTGCTTAAATTTTTGTAAATGTATCACAGTAAAAGACACATGGCCGAGAATAATGGGGTAAGTGTGTTCAAAATGATGGTGAGTGGGGCCGGGGATTTAGCTCAGTGGTTTTGCTGCCTGCTGCACAAGTGGAAGGACCCGAGTTCGATCCTCGGCATAAAAATATAAAAATAAAAATGAAAGAGAGTGTTTGGAGGGGAATTAACAGTAACAAATTACTGTAATAAATTTTTTAAACATTAAAAAAATCATAATTTTCCCTCTAAACACTGTTTTAGTTATGTCCTACAATTTTTTTTTTTTTTGGTACTGGGGATCGAACTCGGGACCTTGTGCTTGCGAGGCAGGCACCTGAACCACTGAGCTAAATCCCCGGCCCTGTCCCACAATTTTGATACATTGTATTTTAATTTTTGTTCAGTTCAAAATATTTTCTAGTTTCTCTTGAGATTTTTCTTTGACTTGGGGATTACTTAGTAGCATGTTGTTTCTTTCTTTTTTTTTTTTTTTTTGGTACCGGGGATTGAACTCCGGACCTTGCGCTTGCGGGGCAGGCACCAGAACCCCTGAGCTAAATCCCCAGTCCCAATAGTATGCTGTTTCATTCCCACCTCTTGGGAGGATTTCCAGTTATCCCTCTTTTCTTGCTTTCTGGTTTAATGCTATTATGGCCACAGAACATGGCTTCAATACATTTGATTCTTTAGCATTTAAGAATTCTACCTTAGTAAATATTATCTAAGCATTTTAAGAGAATGTGTACAGTATTCTACTGTGTGGAATAGAGTGTTCTATAAATGTCAATTAGATAATGAGTTGATAAAACTCAAGCTCCCTATATATTTTCTGTTTTTCTGTCTGCTTATTCTATTGACTACTGGGAGAAGAGTGTTGCAGTCATTAATTATAATTGTGAATTTATGGATATGTCTTTTCATTTTGTCAGCTTTTGTATCCTGTATTGTATGGCTCTATTAAGTGTACGAATATTTAGAAATGATAGGTTTTTCTTCTGGGTGACTTGAGTCTTTTTTTCATTATGTAAATTTTCTCCATGTCTTTGGTAATTTTCCTTATTCTGACTTTGACATTAATATATTCATTAACTCCAGCCTCCTCTCCTCTCCTCTCCTTTCCTTTTGTTTTCTTTCCCTCCTTTTGTCTTTTTGTTTGCGATGGGTATTTGGGATGGAACCCAGGACCTTTTCACTGAGCTGCATCCCAGTCTCTTTACATTTTAAAAATTTTGAGATAGAGTCTCACTACATTGCCTAGCCTGAACTCTTCGAACTTAAGATTCTCCTACCTTAGCCTCCCAGAGTGCTGGGATTACAGCACCATATCTGTGGTTCAGCAGTTCTTTCATTAGTGTTTGCCTGGTATATCTTGTTCCATCTCATTATTTTTTAGCTTTTTTTACGTTTAGGTTAAATGAATTTCTTTTAGATAGTACAGAGTTGAATTCTGCTAATTCTTTTTGTTTTCATACCTTTGATTTTCATTTTTGGCTTTTTTGTATTTATTTGAATATTTGAATATTTAGGATTCTATTATGTATTGGTAGTGCTTTTAAAATGTATCTCTTGGTACAGTTTTTCTAGTATTGGTTCTTTATGGTTTAAAATAGGCTTCTTGGCCTTTTGGCTAAGATCAAGCATTAAATATAGATATCAAACTTTACACAATCTACTTAAATTAATACCCTACCACTTTTAGATAAAATTAAAAAACCTTAGGACCTTATACCCTTTCTCATTTTTGATGTACAGTATTTGCAGTGTTTATCACACCTACCTACATTTAAATAGTATTATAATTTTTATTTCAGCAATTTTACATGTCATAACAAGCTTTAAGGCTAATAACACAATATTTCATTTACTCAGATATTTACAATTTCTGATTTCCTTTCTTTATTACTGATTTCCCAAACTTCTTTCTCTTACTGCTTTCCTTCAATTTGAAGATCTTTATTTAGCATTTCTTTGAAAGCCTATCCACTGGAGACAAATTTTCCTAGTTTTACTTCATCTAAGAAAGTTTGTACTTGACTTTATTCTGATGGATAATTTTAATATAGGATTAGGTTGACAGGTTTTTCTCTTTCAGCAATTTAAAACTATTTTTCTTACTACCTTCTGTACTTCATAGTTTCCAGTAAGAAATATACAGTAATTAAAATCTCTCTTCCCCATATGTAATTTTTTTCTATCTACTTTTAAGATATTAAACCTCACCTTTTGTTTTTTAGGAGTTTCATTGTGATATGTCTAGGTGGGTTTTTTTGTTGTTGTTGTTGACATTGATTCAAATCCCTCTACTCTATCTATATAGCCCTGAGGTCATCCTGGAAAGTGCATTATCAAAAAATATGGAGTTAGGTGACAAAGTCTGACAATGGTATTGTTACAAGTCAAACTTGGAAGGCCCTGTCAGTACATCCATTCTGAGAGAAAATATCAAACCTTTCATGTACATATTTAGTTTTATTATAACAAAGCAACTTATATACTTTGAAAGTTTAAAACTGTATCACCTTCTCATTTCCAGTGAAAATAAAAAAGAATTTAAAAATAAACCAACAAAATTACAATAAAGAATGTCAATTCCAAATAAGATCCTACAGGTACTGATTCTCCCATGAGTGGCAGGCTCAAGTCATCATTAGGAGAGAATTTTATTTTAAAGAGGTCATCTTAAACTGCAAGGATGTCTGTTAACATCATAATTAAATGTGCCAAAGGAGAAGCCATGTTGTCAAATGCCCACTTAACCAGCCAAACATCTCAAAACCCCCTTTGCTGACCTATATACCCCATTGTTTGAAGTATTTTTTTTTTTTTAAACAAGAGAAAGTAGACAGGTAAGTGTTGGTAAATGCCAACTGTGCATATTCATATAGAAACACTGTAATCTCTGAGGCCAATTTATAGAGAAAGGAGGAAAAGAGCTAGAATTCTATGGACTACTACACAGGGGCCTAGTGCCCTCCAGCTTCCCACAGAGTGAAGGGAGCAGAAGGGTTTCCTTTTTTCCCACGGAGCATGGTGGTGTTGATTCCATATGGTTTGTGTGAGACAGGAGGGGATCAAAATGAATTTAGAACAGAAGGGTGTAGAGATCCTTTTCCTGTTGTGTTCTGCTCAGGGTACCTCCCATAAAATAAGTCAAGAACTATGGTGTTTGACAAAAGAGACTTCAAGAACAGGGTGACTGAGCACAAGAAGGGGGGAAAAAGACTGCAGCTTGCTTCCAGGGACTGGAGAAAATTAAAAAAAAAAAAAAAAAAAAAAAAAAGAAGATTGGAATCCATCAGTCTTCAATTAGTCATCTCTCCTTCATCTTCCTCTCCTTCTTCATCATCATCTTCATCTTCACTTACATCCTCACTCCTTTCTTCATCAATGTCTTCCAATTCTCTTCCTCCTCCTCCTTCTTTTTCCTCTTTCTCCTTCTTCTTTCCTCTCCTTCCCTTTCCTTGTCATCCATATCAGGAATCAAGTAGTACTGCAACAGATTTGGCCAAATATCTCCTTTGATGACCTCTCCTAACTCATCTGCACCTGCATCAGCATGGTCGGTAAATCAGGTAAAGAAGCTCTTGGGTTCTTCATGCTGCCGCTTCCTACTGGCTTTATTCTGTGTTTGATCTGTACGTTTCATCAAATCCTTTCCAGATTTCCATTTGATTTCAGTGGACTTTGTAAATGGATCACCACACTCATTCAGATGAAATTGTTTGGAGAGAACTCTATTTTCAAAGTAAGGATTTTCATCAAAATAAAAATCTATTCTATAAACTGATTTTGTATCTTCAAATTCTGTCACTTCGACTCTGGTCAAATAATGCAGTGTCTCTTCATCTTCCTCCCCAAGCAGTGCAGACACTTGTGGATGGCTAACAAATGTTGTTACCCAAAAATTTGGGATTTCAGTGATGAATTCTGACCTCTTCTGAAAAAATAGTTGGCAGAGTTTGTTATATTTCTGTTCTGCTTTCAATATCTCCTCACTGGCTTGTTCATTAAGTCTATTTCATTTCGTACTTCATCAATATGTTCACTTGCTTCTTCTTGTTCTCTTTCTTTCTTGGGTAGGCGCAGTGAGGCCAATGCTGCCTCAGATCAGATTTGGGGTCCAGAGACTGCTGGGGCTTCTGAGTAGAGGGGTGAGCAAAGACTGGTGCTTGGAAGGCACGACACAAGGGAACTCCTAGCATCAGCCCCAGGGTCATCTTGGGCCACAGGAAGCAGATTAGGAACCTAGGTCTGGTTTTAAAAGGTTTAGCCTATGTGGTTTGCTGAGTTTCTTTGGCCTTTCACCAAATTTGGGGAGTTTTCAGCTATTATTTGATGAATTCATTTTCTACAGCATTTTCATCTCTTTCTATAACTCTAATGTGATATTAGATCTTTTGATACCATTCCATTGGTCTCTAAGGTTCTATTCATTTTTTGCTTCCCCCCCCGCCTGTTGTTCACATTAGATCTGAAATATCTACTTCCAGTAAATAGTTAAAAAAAAAACCTTAAAAATTCAGAGTCTGTCTTGGAATACTTCTAAATTTTTACATTAACCACATAGGGGTAACTATACCATCTCTCAGATCACTTTTCAGTCTCATTTGTACAGATAACTGACACAAATACTGTAGTTTATCAAGTAGATAGTTGAATTGTCTCTTCTGATCTATCTTCAAATTCACTGACTCTTCTTTTTATCTCATTTTGCTGTTAAGTCTCTCTTTTGGACTTAAAATTTTTGTTAATGTGTTTATCAGTTCTGGATTTTTAAATTAGTTTTATGTTCTGTAGGGGTTTTTTTCTATAGTTTGTAGTCTTTGCTGAGAATATTTCATTTGTTTCTGGATAGTTTGCCTTTACTTCGTGTAGCATGGTTATAATAGCTGCCGTAGATCTTTTTTTGTCTCATATTTACACATTTAAGTCATCTCAATGTTGGTATCTTTTGAGGTTTTCTGAGTTCTTTGTATGCCAATTAGTTTTGGATTGTATCTTGGACATCTTGAATACTATATTATGAGATTTTGGACTCTGTTAAATCTTTCTGAAAAAAGCTTTAAAAATATAGTAGGGATTCAAGCTTATTTGATTTAGACTGCAAGTCTTCACCTGATTTCTGTGGGCTTGGTTCCAAAGTCAGGTTAGTTTCCAAAGACTGCAGAGATAATCTGGTGTTCACAGCTTGGATACTTTCTGTTTGTTGTCTGAACCACAGTTCAGTTCTCAAAGCCTTTGCTTTGCTGATTCTGGTAGATTTCATGCATGTTTAAAGGTCAAGCTTTCATATAGAGATTTAAAGGATCTCATACTTTCAGTTTCTTCCTTTCTGGATTTTTCCTTACTCATTAGTTCCCAGTTAATCTATTCTACATTTCTGTATAGTTATTGTGTGTCTGTAGTTGGAGGGAAGGTCCATATGAACTCACTCTATCATGTTGCCAAATTCAGAAGTCCACATATTCCATATACTTATGTAATTATTTTTGCAAAAATGATAAAATTTTCCATGTAAGATTTAAAAACTTTTACAAAAAGCTCATCTAGCAAATGATGGCCATGTTCCTCTATTACTTCCTCACATCCTTCTGCCACCTTTGTTCATGTTGACTCCCAGAGGATTTTACTCCTGACATCAAGCATCTGCACTGTTTCTTCAAAGGCTGATCTTAGGCTGTGAGTGTCCGGTTTGCCTGTGGATGCCTAAAGGATCTGTGAATTTGCATCCCTCTGGGACAACCTTGATACCAAGGGCTGACAAGGACAGGAGTTTAATATTCCAGCTTTCTTACTGCTGATGTGAAGAATACTTAGATGTAACTTGAACTGTCTGCTGAGCTTTCTTGTAGAATTGAGCTAAATTTATCTCTCATGGGTATTTGTTTGATATTGCTTGGCTTCCTTTTCTTCCTTGCCTGCTTTCCTATTTTTCTAGTTGATTTTCCTTGGAAAATTTCTTAATAAATAATATTTGCATTAGTATTTCTCTTACTTTCTGCTTTTGTGGAATATTGTAGTAAACAGAATTCTAAGATGGCTTGCAAGATTCCTTGGTGTATATGCTTGCATAGTCCCCTCTTCGTGAGCATGAGTGGAACCCATGAATATGACAAGACAGTTATTCCCAAGAGTAATGGAATAATCACTGTCTTGATTATAGACAACTCAGTCTTAGCAGATTTTTCTTTTGGCCTTGAAGAAGTAAGATGTTGTGTATGAGCAGGCCACCGGACAAGAAACTGCAGGGCCTTGGTTTTCTAAGGGCTGAATAGTCCTCAGATGACAGCCAGCAGGAAAGTGAAGACTCCAGCCTTACAACAGCAAGAAAAAGAAGTCTGCTAACAGCCATCTGGACTTCAGAAAGTCACGTAGAGTGGCTGATACCTGGATTGCTACAGCCTTGTGAGATCTCAGCAGAACAACCAGGTAGGGTGTGGCTAGACTATTGCCCATGGAAACTGTGAGATTAATATATATAGGTGGCTTTAAGTATCTAACTTCACAATTATTTGTTCTGCAGCAGTAGAAAATGAATATAACCACCTAAGGCAGTTATTTATTCCAATATTCTCTACTTTCACACTGTTATTAACACTGTAATGTTGAACAGAGTTCATGGAGTTTCTGAAGCAAATTTTGAATTATTCAAGACCACAATGGGTTTGCTTCTTGTTAGAGTTTGGATTTAAAATGGCTCCCTTAGCCTCCTATGCTTGGAAGGTGATAGGACTATGGGAGCTTATAGCTGACCTGTGGTTAGGAGATGGGGTCTGGTGGGAAGAGAAAAGTCACTGGGGATATAGCGTGGAAGGGTCTCTGGCTCCTCCCTTCACTTGCTGCATCCCAGCTGCTGTGAGGTGAGCAACTTTTCCTCTACTATGCCTTTTGCTATGCTGTCCTGCCTTGGAGCCAATGGACAATGGACTGAAAAACATCTGCAAACTGTGAGCCAAAATAAACCTCTTCTCCATTAATTTGTGGGTGTCAGGTATTTTGTCTCAGGGAGGAGAAAAGTGAATAAGACTTCTTCAGGAATCAGTCATTGAGTGATTGGCATGTGTAAAGCACATCTTTAAAGTGAAGGGATATCAAGATAACTATTATCCTTCCTGCCTGAAAGGAACCAATATTGTAGAAAGTAGGGGAAGATACAATGGTACATACATGAATAACAATGATATTACAAATTATATTCATAAAGTGTCATAAAATAGGGAAACACAAAATGCTATGTGAAAGACCTTCACAGAAGGCCCTGTTAGAATTCCCCATAAGGCATGTAACATGCCTTCATCCATGCAGAATTTACAATTGAAGTTCAAAGAAACAAAAGAAGTGTGGTTTAAGGGATAGAATAGTGGTTTGGGAATCAGATAGACCAGGGTTTAAATTACGCCTCTTGGCCTTACTACCTCTGTGATCAAGATAATGATAGCATTTTCATTCAATTTCATTAGTAAAATATTTTACAAGCTTTGTAACATTAACTATGATTAGGAGCAAATTATTTAAAATATGCTTCACAAATGATTTTGGTATCTATAACTTCTGATAAAGAGAAATGGCTGGAAAAGAGAGACTCTAGTACCAATTCTGCAAGGAGAGAAAGAGGGTCAAAGTCAGTGGTAGTGGGAAGGATTGTAAGAACGGGCTAGACAGATTCACGAGGTAGAGGAGAGGACTTTGAAGAAGATGATACAGTGGGCACAGGGGATGAAAGAGAGAAATTAAAAATGACTGAATGATACAACATTTCCTATTTGTAACTTCCTACCTCATTTGATCTTCTAGCCTTTAACCTTGTAGTAGTAGCTCACAGTCATTATAAGTATGGGCTCTGGAGTCAATTTGCTTTGGTCACAACCCAGCTCTTGCACATTCCTGCTAAGTGATTTTGGACAAGTTACTTAATCTCTGCTAGCTTTTCAGTTGTGAAATGCGAATTCTCACAGTACCTATTTCACACAATGCTGTGAGAATTAAATGAGTTGCTGTGTTGCTTTTGTAAATGTATACTTTAGATATTATCAACAAAGCACATATTATTATTAAATCAATAGCTATATCAATACATTAAATGCATCAAAATATATCATTTTAATAACAAAATATGTTAAATATATTCTGTAAAATACATTGGAATATACTAATCATTATTGCTAAATAATACAACTAGTGGCACATTTAATGCCAAAGCATCACTTCAGAGGCTTGGCATTACTATTCCATCCTCTCACTTTCTCTCTCCTACACTTCATATCTTCCCACTTATCCATTCCCCAGAGATCAGCATCAGTAACATTTTTTTCCACACAGTCATCCCTGACCCTGCCTATTTCTGAAATTTCACATTAGCAACCTTATGTTTCTCTAATGGCACTTGTATCTGCTCCCTCATTATCTGAGAGTAGAAAAGTTCTTTTCTTTTTTTCATTTCATTTAATTCAAAAATTAGTACATATTTGGAGTTCATGCAGTTTACAATCATCTTGGGGAGTGGGTATATGTACTAATACAGCTTGATTATTTTTTTCCTCCTTCTCCTTCCCTCCCTTCACCTCTAATTCCTCTTTCCCCATTTTAATTCTTGTTAATATTATTAATCTTAGCTCTTGGTTATGACATATAACATTTACATTCATTAAGATTATTAATTCCAGGCCGGGGATTTAGCTCAGTGGTTTCGCCACCTGCTCTGCAAAGCGCAAGGACCCGAGTTCAATCCCCGGTACCAAAAAAAAAAAAAAGATTATTAGTTCCTGTACATGGCATATCTTTATTCTACTTATTTCTCCTTCCCCTCCCCCTTTTCTTGAACTGCATATGATAGAAACTCAATAAATATTTGTTGAATGGTTGTGTGAATTAAGAGCAGTCATAGAATGTTTAGAAGCTCATAAACTATTCTTTTGCCTTACTCTATTAATTTCTTGCTAGTGAGAAGGTATTGCTCTAATTCATAATAGGAGCTCTCAAAATAAAGATATCAAATATACAGAATGGTCAAGTTTCCCATTGTTCTTATTGGAGATGGGTACTCATGGAGAACCTCTATATTTCTTGGACAAAGTGACAGTGCTGGGGAGAGCAGCCAGTGAGTGTCAGAGATGGTTGAAAGCAGAGTGATGCTAAGTGGGGGCAATGCCTTTACAGATTCTATAGGTGGAAATGTTAGGTGGATACTTTAAAATTATTTTGGGACTCTTACAAAGCCTGATTTATAATATTTTGAAACCATAAGGGATACCTGTGTTAGAAGAAGTTTGAGTCATGAATTTTGGTGCACAGTGAAGGCTCATTGCCTGCTTGGGCAGTGGAGCATCAGGTGCTTCATCTCAACATGCTCACGGGAAGACTGTGTTTCCTTTGGCAACAGAAGCATAGGAATGGATAATATGTTAACTAGCTCTTAGAGCAGAGTATATGAGTAGGGTGCTTTTTGTGGTCCCAGAATACCTGCCTTTTCTCTTATACAATGCAAGATAGGTATACTTGTAATTATCTTATTACCTAGCCAATTAACTATTCTGTGAGACTATGATTATGCAGAGTGTACAAAGAACTTTATTTATGAATTTATTCTGTAGAAAAAAACAAAAACAAAAAGCTAAACCAGCACATCATCTAATTTTCAATGTAAAATAATGCAGAAGTGTAGAAGATGAACATCTGATTTGTCACATCTGATACACTAATGTTTTATCCAAAAGGAAGAACACATTGTAACTTGCTCAGTCATCTGCATAAACACCACCTGGCCCTTTACAGGCTCCTACTCAAGTAACAGGAGTCAACGAATGGCATCTCTGCTCATAGCCTTTTCACTGGTGGAAATAGAAATGTCTCTTTTCTTTCTTTAAAAATAAAGCATTTATTTATCAAATTAGCAGCATTTAATACATTTTTTCAACAGCATAAGATGTAGGTGATTAAAACAAAGTCAGTGGAACCTTCCACATTGTGGAATATCTGATCATAAATTGTCTAGATTTTGAACAGCTAAAAAAATTCATTATCCTTTAAAAGGAGGTTAGATCAAATCAGATCTTGTGTGATGATATATTTATTGCAACCTTAAGCTACTCTCCCCTTGGGTACATCACTTAGTAAGTTTTACATTAGAAATAGTTGTAGTTTTTAGTGTAAAATATTTTATTATAAATGGGAAGATATTTTTTCCCCTGCAAACTGACACATTCTGGTTGTATGCCTCAATGAGCATATTTCTGTGCTACATTACACACAGAGTAGTAGCATCTCATT